TTTCCCATATAAAAGGTGAATGTCCAAAGGCTTACTGACTCGGTCATAGCGAATGCGTACATCAATCCACCGATTTTGTACTCGCTTAGCTAGTCAAATGTAAAATTGAGAAGGAAGAGCAAGTTGACTTTCGGGTCGAGGGGATTATTTCATACGTTCGATAGAAATGGATTAGTTACTTTGGCTAGTGCTAGATGGTTCACAGCGCACAAGAGAAATTAATCATCGGTTAGTTGAGAACAAGTAACAAGCGTTTCCTGACTGTTATTACTTAATCGACCAACGGATAATGAATATAAAAGACTCAATGGATTTATCGCCGCCTCCTATAAGGTGCTACTCGTTGTTTGAAAACCTTAAATCATCATGTGCTACATTACGACCATGCTTAATCACACTGTCTTTTACTTGGTTGTTTCTAGAATTCATTGAGATCCTGACTTTTGTCCTCAACTTTTCTTATTCCACACAAGTGGTGCGTTTGCTAACTACTATGATCAATTCACGCCTCCAGTTAATTAGTCAGTCACCTCATCTATATTTTATTGGATTAAGTGGAAGAAGCTTCAGATTTTCATTGTTGTTTCACCATACTTCACATTGTGGCCATTACCATGCACTTGAAAGTGGTTTCGGAAAATCGATTTAGAAGTTGTTTCCCATACTTATACAGTACACCAAAAGGAGGTTGTTACCTATATTAGGTGCCTTCCAATGCTAGGCAGCAGGAACCACAGAGTTATTACTTTCAGATAGAATACCGTCAAAACTAGAAACATTTGCAAGAATTTGAACAAGAGAAGTCATAGAGAATATGAAAGACAGTGTACGCTCAACTGCCTACATTTCCCGAAAACACTGTTCTCACTTAAGAACGGAGGTTTAAAACAAACAGTAGTATACCGGTACCTGTAAACACTACAGGTGACGGGGTCGCACTAGATAAAGCGACGCATGTGTAAAACCTAGGTGATGTCGTAGTGTGTGATTCCAGATTAATTCGGTTACTGGGTATATCACCAAGTAAAACAATATTGTGTGCTGGATGACGTTTTGAACAAAATTTTGTCTTCATACTCGTTTCATTCAATTCTAACTACACAACTGTGAAACTTCCTTCCTATTCTTCATCGTAGGGGCAGTAGGATTTTCTAGATCTATTTTGCATCATTCCTATTGCATGCATTTCCACTTGATTCGACAAATAAAGCCTCCGTTTTTAATCTCTCCATCCACCCTGTTATATTAGACTTTAGAACTGCCATCTTATCCCACTGTGACGAATGAATGGCTGTGTGTAATCGCGTGTAGTGCTTGCTATAGCTGAATTATTCTCCAGAGTTCTTATCTTATTAGGACAACTAATCTAAATTTGGCTACATTCAGAGTCTCCAGTCCTGACAGACGAAATTAGAGCAAGAATAACAAGACTACAAAAGGATCCCTAGAAGAGGAAATCAATAGGATCGTTGAAAAATTACTTCATATTATAGGTGAAATCGATCAGCTGAAAAATAAATTAATGGATAGAGTTACCAACAAGGATTATGGTCTTATAATACAGTCTTCTATCAGTGCCAAATCAGCAGTACTCAAAAAGTCAAAAATTGCTGAAATAAAAACATTCAACAAATTATTGGAGGAGAAGTCTCTATTTGACGGCACTGAGAATAACCATACGAAGTCCTCGATGATCGATAAATCAAAGTGGATTTTCAGTCTCTCAACAAATATGTTAAATCGTACAGAACCAAGTGTATTAGCAAAGGGACTAAATTCCAGTGTAGCAGTAGGCAAGCTGAAACCTGAGAATGTCATTCCTAAAATAGAAATAGCATTAACTATAATATAGAAAACAACGGCAAATGAAGGACGAGTACAATGTGCACTGAGATTAAAACAACAAAATAGAGGAAATCCTGACGTGACAAAAATATAAACAGAAACCCTAAATAGCTCTACGAAGCCTTAACGAGGAAGTAATGATCATTAAATCAGACAGAGGAAATTCAACAGTAATTTTAGAGAAACTAGGCTATTTGGAGGAAGTGAACAGCCATATACAGACAGGACCACATAAGGAAATTAAGAAATCAATTTACATCGTTTTCAATGAAGTTAAAAAATAAACAGCAGACCTGATACGCCGAATGAAACCGCTTCTAGATGAGTCTAAATGGATGAATCTGATATCGAAAACTAGTAATCTCAGTAGGATGTAGAGTGTTGGTAAAGTTCATAAGTCAGGGTGTCTTATTACATCTATAGTTGACTTTAGAAATTCACCTACTTATGAATTGTCTAAATATTTGGATATAGTGTTAAATCCACATAGAAGTCACTCAATATCTAGACTGACAAATTCGTGTGAACTAAGACATAGATTGGATAATTTACAAAGTGGTTGATTCCGTCATCGTCAGTTAATATACACGTATACTGATAAATATGGCTATATAAGCGGTCAGAAACGAACTCACTTCTGACCAAGAACGTGAACGTAGAAGAAAAGTGTCAGTAGAAGATATAGTAGTAGAAATGTAGCTATGCCTGAATTCTACAGTATTTAAATGCCAAAGGAAAATATGCAGACAAATTGAGGGAGTTGTTATGAGATCGCAAATATCCCCAATATTGACAGATGTATTCATGGATAGGCGGGAAAATTTAGCGACTGAAACGTTCAGTCTCGCCTCCAATGTATCGAGGAGGTATGCAAACGACAAATTCAACGTATTCAAATCATAGGATTCGAACACGTCAACTCGAAGGTAGAGGCGATTTAATTGACTTATGAATTGTAAAGTTAGGAAGAAGGAACTTATTAGGTTAGACTGTGGCATGAAAAGGAGAGACGATAGGAAGTTAAACAATAGCCTTTACAGAAAACCTTCACATTCAAGCGAATAATTGGATTTCGGGTTATCGAGCCTTATTTTCATTGAGATGTTTGTGTGATAAAGCTGAAAATCTCAATAGTACCAAGAAAAATTCAAGACAGGAAGTGAGGCATATAAGGGAAGCTTTGAAACTTAATAATTACCCCGATAAATTATCCATGAGGTATGTATGAAGCAGTGAAAATAAAATTAACAAATGTGACAGTGATGATATTTGTAGTGACACGCATGTCAAACATGCATAGACTGATGAAAAATCCAACAGTATGGAATTTGAATCATTAGTAGTAATTCCATGCAAAGAATGAACCTAGGAAAGCCTACACAGCATTCCCAGAAATGAAAGAATTAATATAGCATTCAAACACATAACCTCACCTAGAAACAAGCCTTGTCGATTCAGGCATCCTCGGCAGCCACTTGAAAAACAAATCAGTTTATCCTATAACCTCCAAACAATCTCAGGTCAGACAAATAGGTCATAGTAGTAGAATGGCATTAGTCAGACTAGCACAACACGAAAGACTAACAAAATTTAGATTAGTTGTCCCTAATAAGATAAGAAATCTGAAGAATAGTTCAGCTATAGCAAGCACTACACGCGATTACACACAGCCATTCATTCATCAAGGTGGGATAAGATGGCAGTTCTGAAGTCTAATATAACAGAGTGGAGGGAGAGAATGAAAACGGCAGCGTTATTTGCTGAATCAAGTGGAAATACATGCAATAGGAATGATGCAACACGTATTCCGGACATCTGGAAAATCCCACTACCCTTACGTAAACACCATCCACAATTGCTATGTGCGTGTGTGTGGTATTGAAGACTTCCTAATTTGAGGAGGTGATAAATCAGACAACAATGTTCTAAATGACTATACTGGTACATACTGTAATTTAGATTACGATAGGCAAGCCACTGAGACGATTGATGGGGATGAGGCGTGTCATTCGCACTCTGAAGATGACAAGTGCATTGCATCAGATGTCGCTTCATCTCTGTCTACTGAAGCTGTAACTGAAGTTGAATGTGGAGCCTCAGATAAGCTTTCCTCGGTTCCCCCTTGTCCCACGATTGTTAACACCAGTGAAGTCATCTACACTGTGATTGAGGAGGACGTAAGAACCAATGAAACAGGTCAAAGATCACCTGTAGAAACGGCGATCGGATACTTGGTTGTGGATTCACTCGCATGATAGTTCATGGGTAAAGATCCCCACCTCGATGTTCCAATAGGACTCACTTCGTGGAATTGGATATGGTCAAGGTGTACGGCCTTTGCACGAGTGGTTGCCACCTACTACAGCTCTTTTCGATGTAGATAACCAACAAGCAACCTGATCTTCTACCGATATCTACATGATGCCTTTTCCTAATTAAGGCCAGCCACCTACATGTTGTTTGCCTGGAGTATGCTCTAAACAGCACGCCTTACCTTCAGATTCCACTGAATCGGTCAAACGACAAAATATGCCACAGAGTGACTCACAATCAAATCAGCTGAATTTACCTGAGAGTATAGTGAGGCGTTTAAGTGCTGAACGAGCGAAAGAATTAACATAGTGTATACAAGGTGAACAACAGTACTACAGTTCATCGAAAAGTGTCATTTCAAAAGTGGAGTCTTACATGTACGACATCCAGTTGCCTAGTTTGCTGGAACAAATAAGCTCTTTCTCTGAATAGGAAACCAGTCAGAAAGTGTTACAAGTGGAAGAGATGCTTTTCAAACTGATAGTCCTTCGAAAACTGCTACTTCTGCTGAAGACACAACAACTAATTAATTAGAACGTAAATCAGAGGGGAAATGTTCGGATAAGTGAGATTTAGAAAACGTATCCACTGAAAATAATTCGCAAAATACTGAAAACCTCTTTGGATCGGTGAGAGAAATACAGGATTTATGTCACATTCCTGATTCAACATGGTACTGCACTCCTGGCTTGATCAATATTGATAAGTCCTTTGGAAGTGTGACAAGCAGATCTCGTCCTTCCACGGAAGCTGGTTCTGCTAATTTTCCATGTTTACTAGAGGAAGCATCGTCACCAACTCGAGAACGTAGAGTGCACTGCAGATATTCGGCTAAAATTTCTATGAATTTGAAAGCTGGCAAACACGATTCAGGCCGCACTACGGCTGCTTCACGTGTTGCTGAAGCAACGAAACAGGTATTTGTCAAGAGAAAATTTTCGCCTCGTTTCGAAAACTCTAGTCAAAATGAGAAATGCAGTAAACAAGCTAATGAAGGTGGAAATTTGTCTGACGACGCCTCACACAGAAATCAATATCGAGATTCTGTAGCCTCTACTCCTGCGTCAAAATCAAATCGTGTAATTGTAGGTGTAACTCGAAAATCAAAGCTATCACATTTTTAGCAGAACTCTGTGACATCGCGATGATGCAACGGCCACCAGAAGTGCTGACTGATGGCATCATTATTAGAATCATTAGCAATTACTTGTTTTTCTCAACTGTCTCCGACTCAGGCTAGGTATCTAGAGATTAGCAGGATGCAGTTATACGTCCCGTATTTAGAGAGGATAACAAGGAATATGACATCCGGATACCGACCCTTCATTTCAGATTTTAGAACTGTCGTCTCTTCTCATCCGACACCCTTGTGATTGGTCCAGTTACAACATACTGCGTGGAACGTTGAAGGTGATGGATTATAGAGTCCCATCAGAGTGGAAACTGACAACAGGTAGAGTATTACAGAATAACGATGTGAGCCCCTCGTTGTTCCTATTATTTATAAGCAAATTACCTTGACGTTTTACATCATCTTCATCATTACTTGCGGACGGAACTAAGATCTGGAAAAATTCAAACAATAATGAAGGCAGGTCAGCGGTAGGAAGTGACCTATTTAAATTAACTGACTAGTCTTATCTCTGGAGCTTGAAAATTAATTTAGTAGAAAATGGGGTAATTTACTAGGGTTCGAGGTTTTACATGTCGTATCTGTTGGAGAATAGAGAACAGCCTTATGTCAAGGGACAAGACGATCTAGGAATTAGTTTAAACCGTGACTTGGAAACAACTGCATATTGTAATACACCAGCAGCTATGGATATTCGAATGTTGTGAGCAATCTGGATGACGTTTGAATGCTTAGACCAATCTATGTTTCAAACAAGCTACTCAACATATGTCAAACCTTACCTAGAATACTGTATACACGCGGTAGGCACATGCTTCAAGAAAGGAGCACGAGTCTTGGACAAACTAAGGAGGGTAGGAGTTCGATTGGTCGGTTAGTCGACTAGTCTCCCACCTTCCTCATGAGAAGAGGCTGACACATTTAAACAATCAAGTTAAGGTAGATATAGAGAGAGGAGGCAGTACCTACACCAGGAATGATGTGAGTTCCGCGACGACTGAGATTCGAGAACAATAAGCAAGTGCGATATAAAATTTCAGCTCCGACACCTACATGACTGCACAGGTAGGACTCTGCAGAATAAATACTTTCCTAAACGTTATGCTGTTCAACCTTTGAATTTACTCAATACAAAAAGTAAATAACTAGTTGAAAAGTACAACAGGAGTCCGAGACAACAGAATGCATTCCAACCATTATATGACCCTACGTAAATGGAACTCTGTACTGTATCCATGGATAGCTTCCGGAATTGACCTCGATAGTCGCTCCCTACTGAGCATACATCAGTCCTACTTTTCAGCATAGAAGGACACTTCCGATACCATGGTCTTAACATGCTACTTTGAATCAATGTTGTTATGAGTTCTTGAGTCAGGTTGCACGAAGCATGTGTTTAATTCGAATGGAAAGTAATATTTGTAAAATTGGAAGATGGTATACTGCTCTTTAACGAAACACAAATGAAGGCAGGTTTGTCAGTATTTTGGAGGCTGAAGGTATTAACGTTCACGAGTTGTACAGAGTATACTAACGCAAGATCTTATAACAACAATAGATATTTAGACTTTAATTCATCTCATCCTTTAACTGTGAAGGCAGGCTTAGTTAAGTGTTTAACAAGCCGATAAATGGCACTAAGTAGCACAAAAAAAGACCTAAACGATGAAATAAAACAGATAGAAGAGGCGTTGGTTTTAAATAACTATCCTCTAAAATTCATTAGGAAGATTGAAAAACGCCATAAGAAAAATAAAAAGAATTGTGAAACTAGTAATAATAACATAAATAAAAGAGAATATAAGTCATCTACAGTTATACCATATAAAGAGGGGACATCTGAGACCCTACGTAGGATTCTAAATAAAGCAGGAATTACGGTGGCATTTAAACCTACAAACTCACTCAGGGACAAGCTCTGTAGGTTAAAGGACCCAGTGGACCCAATTAGACAAAATAATATAATTTACAAAATACCCTGCAATGACTGTGAGGTCAACTACATAGGTCAAACTAGTAGGTCAGGGGTAGTCAGATTGTCAGAACATAAGAATTTAGCTAAGGTAAGAATGGTTGACCCAGAGAAGATAAGTAATTTAGAAAAAAGCTCAGCAATTGCAATGCATGCATTAGCACACAACCACACAATAGCATGGTGGGAGAGGGTTAAAATTCTAAAAAGTAATCTAGGTAGGTGGAGAGAGAGGTTGATTACTGAATCCTTGTTCATCGAATCTACACCCAACACATGCAATAGGAATGAATCATCACTCATACCCGAAATATGGAAAATAATACTACCAATCAAATCAAGTGAAAATCAAGTGAAAAACAACGGAATTATATAAATGAATTTAGGAAGTCGTGTGATTACCTTGATATGATTATGAGCAATAAATTGTGCTCGAAACGTCATCAGTAAACATTACTGTATAACACTGTGAGACTTTATCAAAACAAAATTTACTCATAATGGAATTGCACTCTCCCACAGTGCACAAGTTTTGTTCTTATATCAATTAAAGAGTGAGTGTCAGCATCCAATGTTGAGTGATGATTGCTGTGGTCAATAATTTTGGGGAATTATTTACCCCTACAGCTCACTCCCTCCCTAGTGGGGTTGTGAGGACCTTAAGGCATGACCAGCCGGAATTTGAAAAATCTCGATGGTTCCCTTATTGGTGAAAAATTATCTTCCTAGTGGCTTGGTGGAGTTCCTACTGGTGTGTTTGCCTATGCTATTAGGGTGTCTGTACATAGCTTCCTCGATGCTTTTCGCTGGGTCCCGTGCTTCGTTTGTTTCCTGTCCAGTGCCCGTCACACCTGGAAAAGAAAACAAGAATGCTAAGAACCTTGTTGAGGAAAATGTACCAAATGACGTGCATCTAAGTTACAGTAAAATAATGTATAGTTTATATCATCGAAAAAAATACATCTAATTTAAGTGCATGTATTATGTAAGGTTATAGGGAAAAAATCTTTTAGTTGTGTTTAGTGATGCGACATAAAACGTTGATGTGTCTGAAAACAAGAAATTATGATTAATACCACGAACGAATGAGTTATGTGATATAGGTGTGAAGGTATTCTCACGTGACGTCCAGAACGCGTATTTTTAGATGGTCTTTTTTTATTTTTGATTTACAGCTTGATTCCACACCGTATTTTCAGTACAAGTGTGGAATTTTCAGCATGGATATCGGTAGCCCAAATTCAGGCCGACCATATATATCGGGTGTGCGTCGGCAGGGGATCGAACCCCGGACCATGTGCATGGTCGACGAGAGTCCTAACCACTGTGCCACCGACTAAAGGTTCGGTGGTTGTCGCTGTGCTAAGGAGTTCTTCTAGGACTAAAGGATCTTCAATTACTTGTTGATTATTGGGCACGTTTAGCTCTAAGCTAATAGGATTACCTTCCAAGTAAGCTGGTTTCAGACGCTCGATGCTGACGGTGTCTTCACGGCCTTCCTTGTCTAAGACGAAGAATTTATCCGTACATTTAATTACTTTATATGGTCCGTCATACCGCGGTTCTAGAGGGCGACGCACAGAGTCGCGACGAACAAATACGTGTGAAGAAGTTTTTAAACAGGGGTGAACGAAGACATGAATGGACTGTGGTCGAAGGGGAGCAGGTTTAACTGAACGCATTGCGTTTGTAAGCCTACTGACGTATGAGGAGTGATCTACCGCTTATGGGAAGCTCGAGGGAGAAACAAACTCACCTGGCAGTCGTAGTGTCGTGCCATATACTAGCTCAGCGGTAGTACAACCAGCATCGTTTTTCAAGGCGTTTCGTGTCCCTAGGAGAACTAACGGAAGTGATTCAGTCCAATGGGTGTTATTTTCAGCTGATAAACCAGCTTTCAACTGCCTGTGTAGAAGTTCTACCATAGCATTAGCTTGAGGATGGTAGGCTGTTGTTCGAAAACGCATGCAACCATAGTCACGCAGCCATAGTCTCCGGTTAACAGCATATATGAGCCACTGAAGTGCTCTTTCTGTCATTAGTGTCTAGTTCTATATCGCAATAATAATTAGGAAATTTCTACTAATACCAGCATAACAGATTCACAACTGGTCGATATATATATATATATATTCATATAACTGAAATTAAAGTGAATGTGATTACAAGACGGTATGTGATACGCTGGTACTTGAATACAATGCTGAGCTACCCATTGTGAATGTCTGTGATATGCACACCTGTGCTGGCTTCACTTCTCTAGCTAAGTGAAAGGGGCAACCTCCTTCGGATCTCTCCCATAGACGGTGTTTGTCATTGGTGTCCGGTTACCTGTGTCAACTGTCTTTTCTGTTCATCTGAAGTCCTGTCTTCGCCGTCTCTTACTCAAACTTGTTTGTTTACGATTGTACATCTTCAATTTCGTGCAAGAGGAGACATAAACCATCCAAGAAATGAGGATTTGGGACACTTCGTCAGTCCGATGTATGTCTCTCTCCTCACTCCCCACGCTACACCGCATAACACCGTGCAGCACAGTCGCGAAGATCATAAGTGACAGTAGGCAGCCATGTCTATATTCTCTTTTCACTTTGAAAGCTTCGTTCAGCTTTCGATAGGGCACCTCTCTCCAATCATTGTTCATTGTTCTTCATGTCATTTTCAGAGTTTCCTTCGAATATTCATCTAATTTACAAAAGTAAAACCTAGTATAATCGATTTTCTACAATGAATCGCTAAGGGACACCGTACAAATAAAAACGCAGCTAGCTTTTCAGTTAAAATTTATGTTTATTCACAGACACCAAGGGTGAAAATTAATGACAGTTTATAATCATTTTTTCAGTCAAGTATGTGAGGCTTCAACAACAAGTTACGTTTACTGATGGTATAATAATTAGCTGAATTCCTCTCAGTTTATTCGTACAGTGTCCAACAAGTTACTGCTAATAATCGCACCTACGTCGATCCTATTATATAGCTATGATGTTGTCACTAGTATATTTATTTGAAGCTCACTT